TTATCATTCTTAGATGTAAAAATAAAATAATGAAATAAAGGAGAATAAAAAGAAGCATGTAATAATAATTCAAATCACATGCAAAGTTCCATAAACATTTTTTTAATCTACAGTTTGAAACATAGTCTGGAAATGATGCTTTCTAGTTATCCAAATAATTTTCTCATTAGAGATTTGTAATCTTCTGTAGCCCGTTGAAGAGGTTAAGTGTCAAAATGAAAGTACAAATATGGAAAAAAAATTCTTATTGTTTAGTATCGGTACTATTATAACCAATAATGAGTAACTGTCTTGAAATTTCAGTGAAGTAAAATAAGTAATGTTTTATCTTCTGGCATAGAATATTTTCACAAAACTATCAGAGTGAGAAAAATGTTTTAATTGCAAAAACAATAAAATCACTATTAATAATACCTGTTTGGGTATCAGTCTTTTTGAGGGCAAATTATTTATTGAGATCAAAAATCTTAAATACATGTATACACTTTGATGCTAACAATTCCAGTAGCAGAGAACTTACCCTAAGGATATAATCAGAGCTGTACAAAGTTTTATTAATGAAAATTGCCAATGCAATAGTATTCCTGGCCATGGAAAACTGGAAGCAATCTCCATGTCCAACAGCTGGTTAATTAAATTATGATAAATACATATGCTGGATTTTTCTAGAATCATTGCCGTTTGTGCTTTAGAGTAGTAACTCTCAATAAGGTGGACATATCAGAATTACCCATGAGGCTTTTCAATAACTATACAATCCTCCAACCTCCTGCATGCCTGGGGCTGAGGGAGAGAAGGGTGGTGGTCTCTTGGGTGAGTTGAGTGGTACAGTAAGCCATTGTTATTATGGGAATGTGTCATATCCTCAAGTGCGCCAAAGTGAAAGCCAGTATTTAAGAAGAATATTTTATCACCCGGTGTAAAAAAGTGGGTTATGTGAAGTTCACATAAATAACCATTTAAAAGTGTACAATTCAGTGATATTTAGTAGATTCACAACGCTGTGCGGCCACTATTTCTGTCTAGTTCCAAAACATCTTCACCCCGCTTCCCCCAACCCGCCACCAAATTCCCTATACCCATTAAGCAGTCACTACCTAGTATCAGAGCATCACCAATTTGCTTTCTTTCTCTATGGATTTAGAGACATAAATACCTATTCTAGATATTACAAATAAATGGAATTATACAATATATGGCCTTATATGTGTTTTATTGTCCCAGCACCATTTGTTGAAAAAACTATTCCTTCCCCCTTGAATTGCCTTGGCACTTTTGTTGAAAATCAAGTGAGCATAAATATAAGGATTTATACCTGAACTCTTAATTCTGTTCCATAATCTACATATCTATCCTTATACCATATCAGTACCACAGTGTCCTGATAACTGTGGCTTTATAGTGAGTATTGAAATTGGAAAGTATGAGTCCTTCAACTTCGTTCTTTTTTTACAGATTGTTTTGGTTATTCTAGGTCCTTTGCATTTCCACATAAATTTTAGGATCAGTTTGTCAATTTCTGCTAAAACTTTGATAGGGATTGTGTTGATCAATTTGGGATGAACTGCCATCTTAACAATATTGAGTCTTCCAATCCACAAACATTAAATTTCTCTCCATTATTTAGATCTTCTTTAATTTCTCTCAGCAGTAAGGTTTATAAGTCTTACACTTATTTTAGTTAAATTTATTCATAAGTATTTAATTATTTTTAATGGTAGTGTGAATGCAATTGTTTCTTAAATTTTAAGACTGTTCATTGCTCATATATAGAAATACAATTCAATTGTATATACTGATCTTGTATCCTGCCACCTTGCTAAACTTGTTATTTTAAATAGATTTTTAAAGATTCCTTAGGATTTTTTTATATACAGGATCATATCATCTGTAAACAAAGAAAACTTTACTTTCTTTCCAATCTAAATGCTTTTTATTTTGTTTTCTTGCCTGATTGTACTAGAACCTGAGTATTTGTATTTCTATTAAGTTCTCAGGTGACAGTGATACTATTGGTCTGGGAGATCACACATGGAGAGCCACTGCTCTAAGGAATGTCTATCACAGAATGGATATGAGACTAGAGGAAAGTAATGAAAGAGAAGTGAATATTATAATATATCACAAGTATAAGATCCTCTCTTTCTAGATACTGTGAAGGAAAATGACAGAAATGGTCAGCAAAGTCTAAGCATAATTACTTAGGAAGAAATAGAAAAATAGAGATTATCCAGTGAAAATTTTCGGGTTCTATACATTTTTGAAAAACCTTTAAAAACCTCAAAACGCTAATGTCAATGACTGGAAAAAAGCTAAAACGGTATGGCGTGTCCATTAAGGAATTACAGTTATTTATAAATGAAGTACCAAATCAAAGATATTAACATTAAAATCATAATAAAACAATAACAATAATAATGTTAAAAGCAAGTAATATCTTTGGAGTACTTATGACTTCCAGGTACTGTTCTGATTGCTATAATATATTCATTAAAACCTTATAACCTTATAAGTTAGCTATTATCATCTTCATTTTATAGATAAGGAAGTTGAGGCACAGAGAATTTAAACTTGTTCAAGGTTTCACAGCTTGTAAGTGTCAGAGCCAGGATTCACCAAAGGCAATATAGCCCACTCTTTC